GGCATTCGTGGCGGCCGGCCGTCGCGAACTGCGCACGCGCAAAGTGAACCCACGATTTTCGACTTTCCGGATTCGACGCGTGTCCATAAACGGGATCATATCTCAGAGACTAATTATCCGATCTGAGTGTTGTTTTGAAGAGGGGTGTATATGTTACAACTCATCCTGGCCTCCAAGTGTGTATCTCAAAAAATTCAAAAAGATACGAGGCTGTGAATTTGAAAAAGTTTGAAAATTTCCCGATTTTCTTAAAATGTCGTGATATATGAGGGCAAAGTACAACCAGAATTACAAAAATCGGGCACGAATGCGTAGAGCACAAAATTCCAAAGAACTTAGAATGGTCGTGTAGCCCAGTTGTAAACAAACTCTTGCCACATTTCGAGGAAGTGTTGCGTGTAAGGTCGCATATTGGAGAAATTTCCATAACAAAGATAAACTATACCCAGCAATCATCAAATAATTTTGGTAAGCATCTATATACACCCTGGAATGCGTAGAGCACAAAATTCCAAAGAACTTAGAATGGTCGTGTAGCCCAGTTGTAAACAAACTCTTGCCACATTTCGAGGAAGTGTTGCGTGTAAGGTCGCATATTGGAGAAATTTCCATAACAAAGATAAACTATACCCAGCAATCATCAAATAATTTTGGTAAGCATCTATATACACCCTGGATTCTCTTATAATGACATCAAGCTGCTCATCATAAGCCAATTGATAAAATACAGTGAATACGCAGAGACATTCGAACGAGAATGGCGTGTAAGGTCGCATATTGGAGAAATTTCCATAACAAAGATAAACTATACCCAGCAATCATCAAATAATTTTGGTAAGCATCTATATACACCCTGGATTCTCTTATAATGACATCAAGCTGCTCATCATAAGCCAATTGATAAAATACAGTGAATACGCAGAGACATTCGAACGAGAATGTAATAGTGACATACCGCTCGTATTGATGGGCGATTTCAAAACTAGTGACGAAAATTTAGAACTCTTACGTGCATACCTTCAGAAATTCTTTAAACTTGAACTAGTGAATGATTTGGACAAACCAACCACGCAAGGGAAAACTTGTATAGATTTGACATTTGCAAGAGGTATTCAAACAATTTCAAAGCCATATGTATCTCATACCACTACCCTATATTCAATAAATGTAAGTTGCAAATGAATTAAACGATTCAAAACAAATATTTTGTTTAATTTCAATATACTACACACGATTGACGTTTTCACGAAAATAACTGCGGCAGTGTCCGACACTGCCTATCATATATATATATATATACAGTAGGGCACCACTTATACGGCGGGTTAGGGACCAGACCCCCACCGTAAAGCGAAAATCGCCGTAAAGCGGATCTTTGCCTTTTTTCACTTGCAAATGCATATCATAGCCTAATAAGATGTTACACTATCATAGAGTAAGTGCACAATAGCGCTAGGCCTAAGAAAACGATATGAAA